ACTGGAGCTTGGCAAATGTGATACCCATTTACAAGAAGGTGCAGACCCTCCACTCTGTCAGTGCTGCCGACAGCATCTCTCCTCTCAGCTCCAGCCTGTGCTAAAAAGGCAAGCGATCCCTTTCACAACCACTGCCTCTCACTCCACTCTTTTCCCTTCCCTTTGCCGTACGCCAGTGAAAAATGTTTTGCTCCACACACACGCTGCCAAGCAAGGCCCTGCCAGCACATACAGCTGCTCCACAGGCCAGGGAGGGAAGAGGAGCCCTCTCCGACTTGCACCCTGGCGAGGGGCTGCAGGTGAAGGGGATGTACTTGTACCCCTGCCACCCAGGTGGTCTGGGACATCGCTTCACTCATGCGTCTACCAACTTTTTAGTTACAGTACATGGCAGCACACATCTGACAGACCGCTGCCCCTCACATTATTTCCCGCAGCTCAGCTATAGCCACAGACCAGCCTCATCAGCGTTCCCATTATTATAGCCCCTATACAGCCCAGACTTTGTTCAGCGCTGCTGTGCTATATGCCATACAAAGGGCTGTCCCTGATCCAGATCTTCGCTTTAAAGCACTATGCTTATGCTCAAATTAGCACTGTTGGCCTAAGCTATTCCAGTCACCCCCACTTCCACCATGCAAGGATCAAAGAGGTTTAGAGGTTTCCTTCCTTTTGAAGGAAGTAAGTTCCTGTAACCTATTTGAAGAGTGCTATTACTTTCAGAGAGAAAATACTCCTCAACACAGAGATAAGGGTTCATCTAGCTTAAGCAGAACCACAGGACAGTTTCTGTTCACCAGAAACCATTGCCCCATCTCCATTAGATTTAGGACTTCACTCCCATGACCAAAGGTTTAGGTTTTCTTGTTTGTTTTAGAAGAGTGAAACAGTGATACCAACAGTATCAGCGTGTTTCAGCACTCGTGAGATGGGATGCTGAGGGAGATGCAATACTTCTAGCTGTGCTGTAACCACAGCTAACCAGGTCTTCAAGTCCTCTGTCCCTGCAACTCTGGGCTCACAGTAATGCAGTGTATCCCCCCAGGATTCACCGGATCTGGGGCAGGTAACGCACTCCACCACATGCCTATACTGATGGCAGGAGTGGGGAGAAGCAGCCAGTTGAGCTAAATATCCCAGCATCCTTTCAGTTTTCAGAACCGCTGTTACTTTGCCAGCACTGCAGCTTGACAAGCTCACTGGCAATGGAAGCCATCAAACCAGAAGCAACAGAAGTAGAGACACAGCCCAGCCCTGCTGCCTCCCCTCAAACTGCGGCGGCAAGGCTTGCCACAGTTCACGGGTCCGGATCCCGTCGGGGCGGCCAAGATCCTTCCGGCATGGATAACGCAGCGGTTTGCACTACTGTGTGCCAAGGCCCTGTTTGGAAGGGGGCAGGAAGGAGGGGAGGAAGGATGGATTTTGTACTAGATAGAAAAAGAGTAAAGTGGGGCAGTATTAGAACAATAGCGTCTCTGTAAGCCGATTACCTTCCTAGAGATGTTGCTTCAGATCTTACAAAATCCTACCGTGAGAGTAAGAACCAAGGGAAAACTCATTACGATATCCTTAAAGCCTCCCAGTTAATTTCTAGCAACACCCCACTGTGGCATCTTCCACAGCTCTTTTTGCTCTTTAGTTATTTGTTGCCTTCAGGGCTGAATTCCAAGAAGAAAAGCGCTACTCTCAACAGGGCTCACCTCTGGATTTTGTATAGCCAGGGGAAGTGTTGTTTGAGACCCAGGGAACCATACATTTGATCCAGAACACGTCTCATTCCACACCCACTGCGGTCAATGGTTGGAAACCTCCACATATCTTTAAAAAAAAAAAAAGCAAGAGCTAGCTTTCTAAGAGGCCACCATACACATACCTGTGCCTAAGTGTCACTTTACCAAGCTTTTACACCTGCACGTTCACCAGAAATGTTACCACAGTTTGAGTTCAGCAGACTTCCCAGCCAAGTAATAAAAATCTCAAAATGATGCTGTCAGGAAACGAGGCGTTTCTATTACCTGCGTCACCAGTAATGCACTTATCTGCCAATCTAAGATATCGAAACCTGTGCTTATTGACGCTGTCCAAGTGGCACGCAGCCTGGCGATATCTGCATAGGGATATATTTGGGAGCTGTGTTTGCACAGCACAGCAAAACCTCACTTTGCTTGCAACTCCTGTGGACCACAGGTCCGCGTGCATGAGACGCACCAAGTGAGACAACTCTGATGCAGCGAGGCTTAAGAACTTGTACTAATCTGTATTTCCTATGGAAACAAGCTGGTGCAGTACACCCCACTCCATTCGGCTGAAATCAGCCAAGCAGACACAAATCTGGCAGCTCAGCTCAGCAACAACCGAGATCCTACACGTCCTATGAGAAGGTGGCAGCCAGGTAGAAGACAGAGAACACAAGGCTTGTATCTTGCTAGACACCAGAGAAAGCTCTTCTAAAACACCCCAGCGGCACAGCATAGAGTTTCAGTCAATCAGCCACGAGACACAAACCATAAAACCCTCACTTAGTTCCAGCTCCAATAAAGTTTTGTTTAATATGGGTGGATGGTTTCCTTTTTCTAAAAGAAGTCAGCCAGGCCGTTACAACGCTAACACCACACGTTAATATCAAATTACTACAGCACAGCCTGGCCCCATCCTCTCCATGAAGATGTTTTGTTGTCTGCGTTACCCTTTCTTCCCCCAGAAGAGAAATAATCCTGCAGCAGTTTGTATCTTCTCTGCTGGAAAAAAAAAAAAAAAAAAAAAAAAAAGACTGTGTCCAAACCATTACAGCAGCGTCCAAAGTTTCACTCATACAGTTCTGTGCCAGCAGCCCAATTTTCACCCAAAACCAATATTAATACTTAAGACCTTTCAGCAAGAGTTGTACACAATACTGGGCAAATATTATTCTTTTGCATTACTGATAAAATGTTTCAAAAGGACAAGACAAGAAAACCGAAGATTGGAAATGGTGTGAAGTATGGGTAGCACCCAGAGGTGCCGTGGATTTGTCCTTCTGACGGGGTAAAGCTGTAGCTGCTACAGAACTGTAGTGAAAACAGTTAGGGCAGAAGAGCCCAAAGCCATTTTCTGACATAGGAAGGTGCTCAGAAGACAGATGATCTATCAAGATAATGCAATGGCAACTAAATTCAAGCCTAGAAACACTAAGACTTCCAAGGATATAGTTGAAAAGGTATCAGAAATAAAAGGAATATAGGTCACAGGACCTTTCTGCTGGGGAGGGGAAAAGGTTTTAAGTCACTGTCCTAACTAGTAACAGCTTGCGAATGCTTACCACCTCTCCCTCCCCTTGCAAAACTGCACAGGATCAACAGAGAAAGAAACGACTTAACACCGCGAGGTTACTGGAGAAAGAGTCAGCCTGTGCAAATACTGCCTGAAGACTTAGAATGCCCAAGAAACACAACAAGCAGTTATTGCCCCAAGCTGACACAAGGGTCAGGGAACAGGAGCACAAATTCTCTGTGCACAGCGTACTGAGCCAATATTTGAAGCCTTGCGCATGCTCTCAGCACCACGGAGCCCGAGACCCCCCGGAACTGACTCCTCAGCAGTCCCTCAGCTCCATTCCGGGCCCCACCAGTTAAACCCTGCTCTGGTCTTGGCTGAGAGGGTGAAAAACGAACCAGACCCCTCCCGTCGCTTCGCCCCCAGCCAGGCTGGAGCTGGGGTACAGGGGCCTCCATTTCAAAGGGTCAGCACTTGAACACTTCAGTATCCATCCTTCCCCATGGGCGGTGGGAGGTCTCAGAAAGAAAATGGTTCTGCAGGCGTTTGCCTCAGTTAAACAAAATTAACCAAGCGCAGAGTGGCTGCACGGCCCTTACAGCCTCATCTTTCACCTGAAATAAGTGAAACATGGACTAAATACCTGTAAATAGTCACAACAGCTGCTCCCACTATGCAATATGACAACCTATGGGGTAACAGCATGTGGCACACCTGAGCTCAGCCCTAATTCCAAATTTCAGTTGAAAAAAAAACCAGATCCAAACCCCGGTGCCCGGCAGGAGAGTTGCTGTCAGCAACAGACGTGGCCAAACGTCACCAAACAGATGCGAGCACAGATCAGGGCAGCGGGCACACGGCAGCCGCTCCGCCACAGCTGGGGCGGGCAGCAGATTTCGGCAGTGGACACGTTCCCTCGTGGAGCTGGGCAAGAGGCATCAAGCAACGTCCCCAAGGCCAGCGGGGGAACCCACGCCAGGGGCTGAGTTAAAATTCGGCAACTTCTTACCCTGACCCCAGCTCCCCGGGGATCGCGGTGGCCTTGCGGCCGGCCCGGCCCTCCCCAGTCCCTGTCACCTCCCGCCGGGGACCGCGGCTCCGC